TCCCCAAAAACTCTTTGGGAGACCACTCTCAATGAGCATCGTCCTCGCCATCTCCTCAAGAGTTCTATTCTTCCTTTCTACAACACCATTTTGTTGAGGTGTTCTAGGGGCTGAGAAGTTGTGATTAACTCCATGTTCCCTACAATAATCAATAAAGTTAGCATTATCAAATTCAGTACCATGGTCTGATCTTACCGAGACCAGCTTGTGGGTGAGCTGGTTCTCCACTTGTTTCACCAATGTTACCCATTCTTCAAACGTTTCATCCTTTGTGTGTAACATCATTACCCAAGTGTACCTGGAATAATCATCAACCATAACACAGACATATCTATGACCTCTTCGACTTTGTACTCTCATGGGACCACACAAATCAATGTGTACAAGTTCGAAGGGTCTGCTGGTACTCAAAACAGTTTTAGACTTAAAAGAATTTTTGACCTGTTTCCCCCTTACACATTCAGAACAAACTTTATCAGCTTCATACTTAATGTTAGGAAGGCCTACAACTAAGTCACGTGTTTTAAGTTTGTTTAGAAGTGTTAGGCTAGCATGTCCAAACCTCTTATGCCAAATCCATTGATTATTGTCAGAAACAGCTCTCAAACAGATGGACTTGTCTTGAGGGATTTTATCTAAGAAGGTAATGTAAACATCATGCTTCCTGGTTCCCTCACATACAAGTTCTCCTGTTTGTGAGTTAACTATGTGACATAGGTTGGCTTGAAACTCAACTATATTACCTTTGTCACATAATTGAGAAATACTCAAGAGATTATGTTGCAAGCCTTCAACATAATAAACATCATCTATTGCGTTAGAAAGTGTCTTACCAACCTTACCTAAACCAGTGATGGTTCCCTTGTTGTTATCCCCAAAGGTGACACTTCCTCCATCAAAGGCCACTAGTGAAAGGAATTGATCTTTATCCCCGGACATGTGTCTTGAGCAACCACTGTCCAAATACCAATAGGTGTCTCCCTTCACTCTAGCCTGCAAGAGCAAATCAAACATTAGTTTTAGGAACCCAAACATACTTGGGTCCCTTTTCAACAACATTAACATCTTGTTGATCCTTTCTTCTCCACACATATTTTATACCCTTGCTGTTCTTATTAGCACTAATTTTCTTAGCTGGACATTCATGTATCTTATGTCCATTTTTACCACAATGAAAACACACATGCATTTCTTTAGTCATGACATACTTGCCTCGTTGATATTCTTTGATCCAGGTGGTTTCTCTGGGAGACCAGTTAGTCCTGGTTCTCTGTCTAGTATAACCAAGACCAACTTTTCCTCTGTTTCCTCTTGATGAAGTCAGGTAATTTAAGGATTCTTGAGCATTCAATAATTTGTCCACATGTCTATGACTATCATTAAGTTCTTTTTCTCTGGTTTCAAGTGTTTTAGTTAACAATTCGTTTTTCTCTTTAAGAAAATCAAAGTTACTTTTTAAAGCTTCGAATTGTAGATTAAGTTTTGAAACCATAGAGTCAATAGACATGTCAACAATCACTGGTTGCTTGTCCTTTTTCAGTTGATTGATTTCCGCATGCAAATCACAAATATTACTTTCATACTTATCAATCGTATTACTGACATCTACACTGGTACCTGTAGGGGAAACAGTGAACTGTGCAGCTTTAAGTGAAGCAATTTCCTTGTGAGAGTTTTCCAGGTTGTAAGCCAATGTTTCAAAGGCCTTCAACAAGGAAGTTCTAGTACACGAATTTGCTTTACTTATAGCTACTGAAAAATCAAGAGTATCACTAGTGGTTGATAAGTCTCTAGGGAACCAGGAGGTCAGATCCTCTTCACCATCAATTGGTTCAAACGATCTTTCCTTTTCTAGTTCCACTTTACACTTGTCCAATTCAACCTCTAGTTCTGCTACTTGATTTTTTAGTTCATAACAGACTCCTTCTAGATGATCACAACTAGCAATAGCAATATTACATTCACCACGTTTTTCTTTTAATTCTCTTTTGCAAGTTATGTATGTTTCACTTAGTTTATAGCATTCATCTAGTAAGGAATCAATACAAGCAAGCATATTTTCTCTATCATATTCATGCATATCTTCTCTAATTTGCTCTAAGCTTACCTTGCGTTCATGTAGTACATCCTTCTTTGCCATAAAGCATTTGTTGAATGTACTGGTTCCCCCTCTGGTTCCTAGACCAGTGCTGTTTTCCTTGATGTTTGTAAAGGCAGTTAGGCAAACATCTGAGTTGGGTGATCCTTCTTCTTCATCTGACCCTGAGTCAGAGTCTCCCCACATGGAAGCTATCATGGCATTCTTGTATGCTTGTTTATCTCCGGATTTAGACTGTTTGTCATTCCACTTAGGACAATCTCGAATAAGATGTCCTTTTTCTCCACACTTGAAACATCCTGTAGAAGAAGAATTAGAGTTAGATTTTTTATAGTTTTTAAAATGCTTACCTTTGAAATTCTTTCTTTGATCTCGAAGAGATCTCTCAAATCTTTTTGCAATCATGCTAATTTCATCTTCATCATCTTCTACTGTTCCCTTAAGCGCCATGCCTCTTGCTGGTTCCTTCTCAGACTTAGAGTCAATCAGCATCTCATGAGTCATAAGGGAACCAATCAGCTGTTCCAGAGACAAGGTAGACAGATCCTTTGCTTCGTATACTGCTGTTACCTTGGCTGTCCATGCATCTGTTAAACTACGCAATAATTTTCTCACAAGATCCTCGTCAGATAAATTTTTACCAAGAGATCTAAGATCATTTACAATAGTCATAAACCTACGAAAGCAATCATTGATTTTTTCATTTTTATTCATGGCAAACAATTCATATTTAGACATGATTAAATCAATTTTAGACCGTTTTACCTCGCTGGTTCCCTCAAACGCAAGTTCAAGGGTGTCCCATATCTCCTTAGCACTACTACAGCCAGAGATACGATTTGTTTCGGTCTCACCTATTGCTTGTTGTAGTATTGACATTGCCTTAGCATTCTTTTCCAGCAACTTGTAATCAGCAATGACCAATTCGCTATCCTTCTTGGGAACCTGGTTCCCCTCAACATCTGTCTTGAGAATGATATTAGGACCATTTTTAACTACGAGCCAGCATTCATAATCAATACCCATGATAACATTCTGGATCCTGTTCTTCCACCAAGCATAATTATTTCCATTAAACTTGGGTGACTTGTTGTCATAACCGATTGCACTTAATTCTTGAGTACTCATTCTTAACTCCTCTAGATGTTACTCTTTCGAGAAGCTTAGGCTCTGATACCAATTGAAGGTTCAATGGGCACTCAAGAGGGGGGGGTGAATTGAGTGTTAAGTAATCGTTGGCTAATTTTGCTTCTTTTCGGATTATGTGTGAGGAACCAGTTGTGCTGGTTCCCGTACGCAGCGGAATATAAATAAGCAATAAAGAAGACAACAAATTTAACGAAATAAAACAAAGCAATAAAGAACACAACAAATTTAACGAGGTTCAGCCAACTCAGGCCTACGTCCTCCTATCCTAAGTTCTTTATTAATCTACTCCGAAAAACAAAGACAAAGAACACTCTGCTGTTTCCCTACTCCGGGAACCAGCAAACCCCACACTCTACTCCGAGTGTGCTCTCGACTTACACTCGTAAGCCCAATGTGTTTGAACTCACAAACACTCACCCAGCCTTTAACCCCTTTGTTAAAGACTCAATACAAGAATCAAGAACTCCCCTTTGATCTCACTTCTACGAAGCTAATTAAGAGAAAAAGTTTAAGTACTAGAATGCTCTTGTATATGACTTGATGAATGGGATTAGTGCTTAAGTATATGCTCTCAAATAATTGCTCTTTTAATTTCTAGAGAGGCACACGAAATATGTGAAATAAGATGAGTTTATATAAGCTTAGATTCCTAAAACCTAGTTTCCTTAAATCACACAATCTTAGAGAATAAGATATAATGTAATTTTAGGAAAGTTTTTATCTTATTTGATTTAATCACAAAGATAGAATCAATTAAGATAAATACTCCTAGATTTTAGGTAACCAAGAATATTTCATCTTATTTCCAGCTGCACAATATATTTTCAAGATAATCTTTTCGAAAAAATCTTTTTGTAAAATCTTTTTCCAAAACGGCAGCTCGAATACAGTGAACCTGGTTCCCCGACCTGGTTCCCTGAATTGAAACATGTTATGAAACCTGTTCCAACTTTGTACCAGATTTCATATCATACTTCAATATATTTTTAAGCACTTATATAACCCAAACATGCAAGCATACTACGGAGCATATTACATGAAAACCTAGATAACATATTAAAGCATAAATCGTCTTTTCTTCATGTAATCTTCAAGACTTGAATCTTCCTTGAATACTTCTATTATGAGCAAACAATCTTTCTTCGAAATATCTTCGAAAGGCTTCTATGCTCCAAGTCTTGGAATCAACTCAACTACTGCACATGTAACATGGTTAATGCACAATAAAGAGTATGTGACTGCTTTACCACGTAGCAACCATGGAAACAGTACATACTGGTTCCCTACCAGTACATAACACTTTTATCATATAACTGTTCCCTGTATAAAGACAAGTTAGTTCAATAAGAAAACTCATGTAAGTAATAACTTGTCTGGGGAAACAGTGTTCTATGTTAGCTGGTTCCCACCAACTGTTTTCAACACTTATTAAAACCTGTTTCCCATAGCTGTTTGTCATCATTCAAAACCATCATTCAAAACCTAAGGGACTCAACATTTTCCAATTTCTTCCTTAATTTTTTAAATCTTTTTTAAAAAAAATAAACAATCGTGATTTGCATGCATGTGCTGCTGTTAATAAACTAATGAACCCCTGTCTGAATTGAAGTTGCGTTGCGTGTACATTATTAGTCAAACACTCAACTAACCTAACACAATCATTTTAGTTTTTAAAACGCGAGTAATAATTACATATTTGTGTTGTATTATTGATCATTTCTTATCAATATATATATCGTATATTCGTAAAGCTCATCATTCATCCTAAGAGATTTATAAGGGAGAAAAAATATTAGTAAGGGGAGAAATGAATAGTCAAATGGAGCACCTTCAATCAAAAAAACCCAGCTCCAATGTGTCTCTTACAAAGCATGAACTTGTCATCTCCACCGTAAGTTCTCCACACTATACGTGTATGTTGTGTATGTAAAATTAATACTGCTGTCAAAAAATAATAATAATATTATCCGTTACATATTATGTGCAACTTTGAGATATTATTTGTGAGATATAAAAAATTCAATAATTGTATATATAATAGGTAATAGAGGTAGTTCTATGTACCTTTTTTTATCTAATACAAAAATTTAATTTTTATTTTTTTTTACGCGTAAAATCGTTTATAATTACTTTAACATACATAGAAAAGTCTTGATTAGTGAAAATTTTATAGTGATCGTTTGAAATATAACTACCATAATATTTTAATGACTATATAGTTCATAATTGACAAATTTTCTCCAAGTAATAAATTATATTACTTTATTTATGGTATAAAATAGTATCATCAACATTTTTTTTATTTATCAATTTTTTTTTTAAACCATATATATCAAAGTTTTAGTTTTATTTATATTATGTAATTTTTATTATTAATTTATAGTTTCTCGAAAAATATTTATTATACGTTGGATTCAAATTTTCAAAAATTATATTTGCATTGTGTATGTTAGAATACTAATTGTATCTAATATCTATATTATAATGTGAAAAAATAACTAATTATATTGTTTATCATTAAAATAATATGATAGTCATATTTCAAAATACCGCTGTAAAAACATCCATTAGTAATAATATTAAGTACAGACAATTTTTATGTTTAATTGATTTAACTAGTTGTCTTAATTTATAGGTAGGACGTGTTGAAGTATACACCGAGAGCACAACGCGAGAATTAAAAGCCAAACCTCCAACACCAACTATCAAAGCTGGAAGAAATGGCCAACTTCACAGCTCGCAAGCTTGACGAAACTTGACAAACTTCTGTTGCATACTTGCATGCAATAATTTAAGTGTCATTGATATTATGAAAATTCCAACTAAAAATATTATTTTGATCAACTTTGTAATATACTCCGTATTATGTAACAATTTATATTTTGTTTTTGATTAGTCTTCTTGATAAGTAGTTAATACAAGTAATTATTAAGTGCATGATATGTTCGTTTAACATGTACTCCATAATAGATCTTGATTTCAGTGTGGAGAGATGGAGATCGAGAATAAATTTGAACTGATATGATGTGATTGTAAAATAGTTACGTAACATATTACATTTGATGGGAGTGTTATGTGATTATCTATATATGTGAGTACATCATCTGTCTATTGAAGCTCTTGTTATTACATACAAAGTACTTCGTATGTACTCCCTCCATCCCTTTATTTTTGCCCCATTGCCATTTTTAGGGTCATACTTTAAAAACTTTGACCATAAATTACCGATAATCTATAAACGATAATATAGTCATGAGTGGTTTTGTTAGATTCGTCTCGTTGTATATTTTATTAATATCACGTTTTTATAATTTTCACGTGTATGGACATAAAGATATATACGTTTTAAGATGCGTCTTGGAGACCGTGTATAGTCAAATGGGGCAATAAAATAGGGACAGAGGGAGTACAAAGTACTCTGTTTTGTACTTGTGTTTATAGTTGTACTATTAGTTAACTACTACAAACTTACTTCAAAATTATATACATATCACTACAAAAATAATGAGAATAGGCAACACCTAAAATTGCAACACTAAAAAAACTATTACCCTTGATCACCTAAGGCAACAAATATTAAATGTTACCATGAACCAAAATAATACTACTAGATCCATGTGCAACAATTAAAAAAGTGTTGCTATACACCATTAAAGACAACAATCACCTAAAATGTTGCTTTTCCTTTGCCTAAGGCAACATGTTTAGAAAATATTGCTGGAAAAGATAACGACAATACAATTGTCGCCTAAGAATGTACACTTCAACATTTCACCACTTGTGCCACAAAATATGCCACGGAAATTCAAAATTCGTGGCATAATTTGATCTTGCCACGGGAAAATAAATTCAACCAATAAACTTAAATGACAACAAAATATTACGCCACGGAAAATAAAAATATGTGGCTAATTTAAACTTGTACCACGGCTAAACAATTTTCCCATGGCTAATAAACATTGCCTTGAGTAACTTGTTCTTGTGGCAAATTGTCACTTGTGCCACGGGTAATTCTATTTTGTGACAAACAAACACTTGTGCCACAGGTATTTTATCCCCTGTTGCATTCAAACACTTGTGCCACATTAAAATTATGTTTAGGTATAATTAAACACCAAAATATTTGCACAATCCCAAAATAAATAAATTAAAATTCACGAATCCCAAAATTTATTAGATTAGAATATAATCACAAAAAAACAAAGTCTCTATCTAGATAGGTAATTCTTCAAACCGATTGAATTTAAAAATATACGGAGTATTTCATGAGGTATAATTTAGTGCAGTTTCGAAAAGGAATTCCCGCTAAATCCATTTTCCCGCTAAGTTTTAGGAGGTACGACCGTATAATGAATTGGGAAAGACTAAAATCTTAAACCTAGGCGTGAGATCCGATAAAAATCGGATAGGTTTTATTTTAGAATTTTTTTGTTTTTTTTTTACAAAAAAAAACAAAGATTAAATTAAAAAAATGCTTAATTATTGGAGTATACACACTAGATGAATCTCGTGCGATGTACGGCCTATTTGTATTGTTTAAAACAAATATTTTTTTGTATATGTAAAAATTTGTTATTTTATTCGTTGTATGCAATATATCATCATTTAATATTTTTATTTTAAAATAAATTGTGAATTTTCTCTCATTCGTTATATATTTAGATTAAATTTCTAATCTCAAAAGATAATATTTTATTGTTAATTAATTTAAACTTTAAAATCTCATTCGCCAATTTTGCTTAGATGGCATTTGAATTACTTAATTCTAAAAGAATTTACAAATCTCTAATTAGCTATAAATACATTTTATAATCCTACATGGCGGCTCAACTCCACAGTTACCAACAAGCAATGGCTCTTCGTGACTTCGTCAGTTTTTCAAAATTTTAATTTCTAATTTTTCCCAATTCATTCTCGCAACTACACAATCTAATATCTCAAGTGACACTTTCAACTACGCTTTTGTCGATCGCCTGAAAATTTTTCACTCCATCATCGATAAGTTGATATTAATTCAGTTTGTTTTTACGAATTTGATTGCTCTTTGCGAATCGTTTGATAGTTATTATATCTTGCCCGATTTCTTAATAAAACTTGATAGAAATTTTATTATGAAATTGCGATTGTTTAAATTTGTGAAAGAAAAACCCAATGACTACTCTTTTGTTTTACAATTTGAGATTTAAATATGTGAAATTACGATTGCCCTATTGCCCTATTTTATATAGTTTCCGTTCATGAATTTGATTGCTCTTTTTGAATTTGTAATCTGAAATTTCAGTGTGAAATTGTTATATAAAGTGATGGTTTAATTTGATTGCAATTGGGAATTCTAATATGAAATTATAGTTTTGATACTGATGATTTTTGCTGTGAAAGAACATGCGTCACAAACTCACTAAACATCGTGCTTAAGGATGATCATCTTATTGTCGCATTCCACTTATTGTTGGACTTGAGATATAATTCGAATGCTCTATTGAAATGAAGCTCTTTAACTTTGATTGTTGGTCGATTACTTGGTTGTGCTTTGTAATTGTAATATGAAATTCCAAATTTAAACTGTACTGTCCAAGGAAGGGGCCATGGAGGGGGTGCAGTGGTGTAGGTAAGGGGGATGGGAGAGGAATAGTGTGCAGGGAAGGGAATGGATGCAGGGAACAATATTATTGATTGCAACTTCAAATTATCTGAACTTAATATAAGTTCCTGAAAGTTTTTAAAGCTTAAAAGAATAAGTCATAGTCTATTTTAATAAGAAAAGTGATTTTAAAGACTCTTTAAATTTTTAGAAATAATATTTTTTTTTTCATCTCAATGATTGATGTTAGTGTAAAAAACAAGATGAGATATAAAGTAGCTTACTCACACCTTTATAAGACTGAAATTCAAACTAAAATTGTTTCACTATAACTAATCATGATTTATTTTGAATATGAAAGTTAATCAACAAAAATAGATGAGTGTGTCAAATAAAGATTAAAGTTAGTAGCCTTAACAATGGCAGTAGTTTAATCCCAAAGAGTCTTCTAAAGAGTCAGATCACCAATGTATAGCCTAATATGTGAACATTTTTTTATTGATGCGTTTATTTTAAGTTGTCTACTTATAAAATTGAACTAAATATTATTCCGTATAGCTAAAAATCTTTTGGTTATTGATCTTGTAGCTATAAATCTTTAGAATGGACATTTATAGAAAGTGGTCAGAGTGGATGGAATGTGATAATGTAATTAGTGATTTATAAATAGAGCTAATGAGTTATTTTGTTTTGATTTCTTTCCTTTTTTTGGGTTGTGTGTGCGTGTGTGTGTGTTTTCTGCCGTTTGATGGTTCTTGTAGCTATAGCTGTTGTGAGTATGTGACTGGCTGTGATGATGGACTTAATATACCTCGGCCTAAATTATAGCACAATAATGTTTATAAAATACACAGGTTTTAAAAAAAAGTGTTAAATGTATTTTGTTTAAGACGGGGTGCTTATACTAATATTGACAAACCTTAACTCTAATCTTATTATACAACTTTAATTAAGAGATCAAAGTTGAACCGTATCATAGTTGCTTTAGACATCATAGTCTACTTTCTAACCCAATTAGAATCAAATTGATATCTTTTGTAGAATAAAAGATATGATCAAAATAGTAGAACAATGTCAGTTTTGGATAGAGTTTGGTATTTCAATTCATTCATATCTTTTTCGTTTCTAATCAGAATTGGGATTATGATATATCATTGGAAATTTAAGGGCTATCCAACAATGTAAGATTTTGATAAAAATTACGAGGCACAAAATTCAGTTTTGACCGGGATTAGGTTTTATCAAAAAGAGATGTTTTATTCAACATCAAATTCTTAAATCTTTATCTTTCAGGGAAAGGATAGATTAGAACCTTGTAGAGGATTCTAAAAGCTCCTAGTTAATCCTAATTGGTTTAGTATTGGGATTAAGGTATTGGACCCCCCACATGATCATTGGGTCGTAGGTAAGGTGGACCTAGATCCGATTTGGGCTCGGTTTAGTATTTTGGCCATAACTTCTTCGTTATAAGTCGGATTTGGGTTTATAATATATCGTTGGAAATCTCTTTTCAAGCCCCATCTAACTACAAAATAATTGGATCAGGATTATGGACCAAAAATAGACTGGTTTGGACATTTTTATAAAGAGAACACAAAATGAATGATTTTGGGTTTAAAGCATTTAAGGAAAGGTTATAAATGGTTAAGGCTAAAGAGAAATTCACAAGACTCTTCAACTAACTTGATAATCAAAGATGTAAAATATACTCATCACTGGGTTTTGTTTTTGGGAAGACACAATCAAGTGTCTACAGAAGCCTCCACTTTAACTGAGTTTGGAGAAACGTAAGTTTCGAAAACAAAAGTCAAAGTAGATCGATAGGAACGGAGAATGATTCAGAACGTTCTGCGACCTGCAGAGGGCAATAGTTCCAAAAATAAATGAGTTAAGGGAAAGAAACACATATCTTGCACCGTCGGGTACACGCCTCCAGGTGACATCTCGTCGGATCAAATTTTTTTTGTTTAACAACCTCCACAATCTTAGGTAAAGCTGTCGAAGACCACCTCATCTCGAGTCGTCTTCTCAAATCAAGTGACAACCTACTCAATCTTAAGGAGCGCTGTCGAAAACCGCCACATCTCGTGTCGTCTTCTCAAATCAGGTGACAAGCTTCTCAATCTTAGGGAATGCTATCGAAGACCACCTCATCTCGAGTCATCTTCAAAAATCAGGCGACAACCTCCGCAATCTTAGGAAATGCTGTCGAAGACCACCTCATCACGAGTCGACTTCAAGAATCGGGTGATAACCTCCGCAATCTTAGGGAACGTTGTCGAAGACCACCACATCATGAGTCGTCTTCAAAAATCAGGTGACAACCTCCGCAATCTTAGGGAACGCTGTCGAAGACCACCTCATCACGAGCCGCCTTCAAAAATTGTGTGACAACCTCCGCATGTTAGGGAATGTCGTCGAAGATCGTAGTGCTTAACCATCTTCAAATCAAAGTGACAACCTCCACATCTTAGGGAATGTTTTGAAGATCGCAGTGCTTAGCCATCTTCAGATCAAAGGGGGACAACCTCCACATCTTAGGAAATCT